TGGATCTCACCAAGGCTTTTTCACGGACTTTTCACAATTTTTACATAAGACTTCAAACTGCCAAACAAAAACTTGAACAGTCTTTATATTGTTTGCAGGCCAAGGATATAGCTTGACCATAACAGATAAGCTGAGATGAAAGAAGTGCTTTCCATTCAAAATCGGTCGACTATTAAACAGGCAGATCTTTGTGTGATTCATTTTTATCAGAATGTATTTGTTAAGCAGACCAGTTTGGCCAATCATCAAAATTCAGTCGTGTGAACCAAAAGACGAGTTGCAATGGTTTGAGGAATAAAAGCAGGAAGCGCGTTTTGCGCAATCCCTTTTCGAACATCATTACCACCACACACACACACACACACACACACACACCAGTGCAAACAACAACTTCAATTTCGAAGCCATCTGTTCGACTTTGGGAGCGGTACTCTCACTCTTTTTTTCCCTCCCTCAGCACGATTGTTCCCATCAACATTAATATTTGTGTGTGTTCATCCGTGTTTGTCTCTGTTTGCATTCAAGAGAGAGAGGAAGAAAGTTCATTGAAGAGAACAGCCTTGAACAGATAATAGTGAAGTGGAATGGATGGCTAGAAAAGAGTCCGCTCATTCGGTCTCTCCCGTTCATCCCCTTTCCATTTCTCGATTGCTTTTTATGATCGGAGTAGGAGTTGGTCCCCCCTCCGCCTCCTGCGACATTTCGCTTGATTTCGCTACCGGCTCGCTTGTTTTGTGCTTAGGATTCGCACATTGCGTGAAAGTCGAAAGTGACCTCAAATAGGCGAGCGCGACAGTTAGGGAGTAAGAGGAAAATCGCACCCGTGTGAAAGCATCCAACTAACCAACCACACACACACATGCATATCAACGGACAAACGGGATGAGGCTGGGGACGTATTGGCTGACTATCTCAAACCAAAACCACCATCGTCTTTTCTTGTTTGGGGCAATTGTCCTAACGGCTAAGTAATGTTAATAGTCACGTGCAAAAGAAATGGGCAGACACGAGTGTGTTCGGAAAGAATCGCCGGGTGGTGGTACTAGTGGTGTGGGGACATGGGTTAAAGTATGACAGTTTAATGCACAACAGCACTGGCGGTGCACATATTTATTTCATCATTCGCTTATGACAGTCCGTGGCACTGAAGCGTGGAATTGCAGGCCCAGGAGGCCCAGTTGTATGTTTCATTTAGAGCCTTGTGTGTTCGCGCGGGAGGGGGAGTCGGTATATGGGGAAAATAATGGCAATGCAAAGAATCATATCGTGTTTGATGTCCTCCTTTCCATTGCGCAATGCATGTGCGGTGGTAGACAGATGGATTAATGGCAATCTGGGCACGGGGTTACTGGTTAACTAAGGACTCCGGTCACACGCAAACACTGTGGGAACAGGTGCATTCATGCGCCTCTGAACAGGCTGGTCAAGTCTGCCGAGAATCTGCACGTTCCATTCGTGGTGTTTCGTGTATTTCGACCGCAGCGGGGGGTTACTTAGTCTGATCAGTCCAAAATTAATTCCGGCCTATTTCAACACAATGCTTGTCACACGAAACGACCAAGATCGACGTTCACTTTTGATCACATGACCGAAAGAGGTAACACGCAAAGCCAGATGATGATTTTNTGATTTTGGTTCAAATAAAAATGATTTATCGAATCAATCAACCGATGTTCGTACGTTCAAACAGACGCGATTGAACCCAAGCTGGGAGAAAAATATCACACCACCTTTTGCCCTCAGTTTTAAGTATGGACATAACGATAATACTAATACTTTTACTATTACTATTACTATTACTACTACCATTAATAATAGCGGCCAAATACAAACCATTCAAAATATGTAATGAAACCTTAAGATAAGTACACTAATATAACCGAAAGAATTCAGTCGACTAAATGGAAAATTTCGACACAATGAAAAAGTTTAAACTAACCTAGTAAAGTGCACCGCTTAAATTAAAAACTGATGAAATCAACAGGAAAGTACGGTGATGATTATCTGTGTACATACCCCAATACACAATGGGACGATTTATTCGAAACTTTTTCATTCCCCCGCCCCGGCGCCGTAACCCCCTGTAGGTGGAAGTCGTCAGGAATTTCAAGAACACTTACGCTCGCACTATGACTACAAATGTTTGAAATGCGATTACACCTCACGGACTGAGGGTCGTCTGAAACGCCACATGAAAGATTTTCATTCGGAAGTACCACCGGAAAATTTCTCCGGCAAGGCACTTCGTCCGATGCGACCAAAGCTGCAACGATGCAAACAGTGTGACTTCATGACGGAGACCAAGGTGGGTAGTGGCAGCTGGCCTGCATATTTCTGAGTGTTTTTTGGTACGTAAAAGAGTTATTACTCCTTTGCTTTAAGAGGTACCCGTGAGTAGGATAGTTGATCGACCAATCGATACATTCCTGAGGTCATCCGCTTATGATGTACGCTTTTTCCCATCGCTGCACGACTCGACCTGTTCCACGTGTTCTTGCTTTTGTCTCTATTTACTGAACCTGTACAATAGACCATAGAATATCAGTCAGGAAAAATAGANTATTGATCTTTTTCACTAACCTGCGGTCAACAGAATGAGCAACTGTGCGTGTATGCAAGGCAGTGAGGCGGAGAAGGACAAAGCAAATATACAGACGAAGGGCCCGTTCCCAATCTCCCTCTCTCACTTGTTTGCCCTGCCCCCGTTCTTTAAACTCACCCACTCCACCGTGTTATCATAAACACCCAGCAGAAAAAAAACACTTTTGTATTGGGGAACGCGCACCTTGTCATGGCAACGTGACATCAGGGTTCCAATTTTGTTGATATTTTCTCTTTTTCATAATCTCACCCAAAAACGTGCGTATTTGAATTTGTTGTCCCTTACAATGCATTCGGGAACAGCAATTTATGGTAGGGCACATCTCGCCGCTCAGTGTACTTGTACAGAGGACATATCACGTTTGCCAGTTTGAAAAACAGCTCGCGAATAGGGTGTAAACGACGACACGATGATGCTGCTCTACAAAGGGTCACATTTCGACCCCTTCAAATAGATGGTCTTTGTTCTTTTTTTCGCGAATCAAAATATCCGTACATTCACATGTAGCGGAGGGGATAGAGAAAAATAACAAACGTATCGTTTGATGGATTGATGGGTGCACGAAAGAATACTAGGCACGTTACTTCAGTGGATCCGTCACATGAAAAATAAAATCGAACAAAATTTGAATAAATTATTCTTTCTGATTGTCCTGAAAATTTCGTTAATTCTAACCGAACTTTACCAGGAAGTCAAAAAAAAATAAACAAAACTGTTCTGTCACAGTGGCTAGCTGAAGCTTGTTTAGAAGTCGCTTTAAATAAACCCACAACATGTGAGTAATGGGGGATTTGATTCACTTTCAAAGTGGAAATTCATCCTGTATATGGCAAATGAAGCGTGAACTGAAAAGCTAGGAAGCACTGGACAGCTGTTTTGACTTGGTTGGGTCTCATCAGCAGTGCGAATCTATCGAATCAACAGGGGATTGAACCCGGGACCTCATGGGTTAAATGCAAGCATGCTACGCCATCGGCCACCAGGCAGCTGACCAGACCGCTTTTCATATACACGACGAATTTCCACTTTGAAATCCACAGCACTTCGGACATCATTAGTCTAAGGAATACGAAGTTGACTTAATAGAATTTTCAATATTTTAAAGATGTGATCAAACCAGGTATGAAATCACCCAGACTAGTGGCGCTTGAAATCTGGCTTCATCGATGGCACGATACCGGCCACCGTGAAGGGCAAATCTGACCCGATTGTTCAAAGTGATCATGCTTTCATTCTGAAATGGTTAACATTTTGGGCGGGCTGTATCAGTAACAACACATGAATACCAGTCAAATCCCCCAACCCGTACCTCAGTCTATGCAGTCATCTCCCATTCAGTAAACTTTATATCAATCCTAATTATTTACCCAGGTGTTTAATATGGTATATCAATTCAGATGCTGTGCCTAAGTGGGCGGCGAGAGTGATTGAAGTCTTTGCCGGTCTTTTTCCATGAACTTCGCCATCATGCAAGTTTTGCAATGCATTCAAATAAATGATATCGGGTTGATAACAGTGCCGTATACTTCAAGGAGATAGACAACCAGGAAGATCTGTTGTTTTGCTGCAGAACTATAGGCAAGGGAAGCCCAATGGCTTTTGAAGGGCATAATCTCAACACAGCAGATGAGAAATTGACTCCAGCGACAGCGCACGTGAGAGACAGCAGCCATGGTTGGGTGCCTACATTGAATCCCGAAGCACAGAAAAAATGACGTGACTATTCACGGTAAGTAGGTATGCGTCGCGCAGCTAAACAGTGCACGAGCCGATCAACTGTACTATCGGATACCGAAACTCATGTGTCCGGCCCCATTGCAGAAATTCCAGTAAACACAGGCTAATCCCGAACGACAGACAATCCGTATAAAAGGGAGTCACCCATTTAACAATGTAGTAGTTAGAACAGGGTAAGGAAACGCATACAGACACACACGTATGAGTACAGAAGTCCTAAACTTAGGCCAGTTTGGCTTGGGATCAAACGTGAATCAGAAACCTCCGAGGACCGCCCCACGGTGTGTGTGTGGGTTGCGAGTAATCAGCAGATCAGAGATAGCCGACACGCATGCGTAGAACTGTGAACATATAATCAAAAATGGATCTCATGGTATCAAGAATTTCGTGTGTCTGTATGTGTGTGAGAGAAATGGTTGCGTGTGGAGTGGGAGAGATAGTATTAGCAGCTTAGCCTTTCATTTTGTGATTTTTTGTGTAACATACACAACCTTCGAACGGTAACATTATTCATCTGCTCTCGTNCTCTCCGCCCTGGTCCCCCTTCACGTTATCCCCTGGAAAACAGGATGAATTTTGGCGGCATTTGCGAATCCACATCAAAGAGGACAAACGTTTGGAGTGTAATTTGTGCTGTTTTGTGACCGAGTATAAACACCATTTGGAATACCATATGCGCAATCACATGGGTTCGAAACCGTACAAATGTCCCAAATGTAATTATGAATGTGTGAACAAATCCATGCTGAACAGTCATATGAAATCACATTCGAACGTCTACCCGTATCGTTGTGCAAACTGCCATTATGCGACCAAATATTGTCACAGTCTGAAACTACATTTGGCCAAACACGATCACAAACCAGCGGTGGTGTTGAATGCGGATGGCAGTTTGCCGTCATACGACAATACAGCGGAACTGATGAGTTTACGCCGTGGTTCGAGTATTCGACATAATTCGGCAAATACTCGCACACAGTCCTTCGGGACAAAAGGCGTGGACACTTTGGAAGGCACACATGGATTAGACCAAACACAACCACCACAGGAACAACAACAGCAGCAACAACAACAGCAGGCGCAATCTCAACTACAACAACCCACCACAGCACAAACACAACAAACCACCTACATGAATCCCATATCTAGCATTATGCCATTCGGTGGACAAGCTCCACTGCTACGACCATTTATCCCCGGCGCAGCTTTGAATGGTCTTCCCTCAATGCCTGGGTTCGAACACCTACTCACATCGCATAATCCGAGCATTCCATTCTCCATGAACACACCATTGACTCCGTTTTCCGGGTTGATGTTTCCAAGTGCACCAATTTTTGATTCATCTAACCTATTCCCTACATTGTTTAATCCTTCGAACAAGCCTTTCCCATTAGGATCGACGATTCCGTCGACAGCGGCGTCCCCAACAACCGCACCGATGAATGTGATCGACTCTGACACGCCCACGGCCACAAGTACAATTTCTTATACACAATTTGCTCCCAATCTTCCCGGTAGCATGATGATGGACTATTCCGACACGAATAGGACGAACTCCCTCCTCGGTAATGATTTAACGCTACCCAATCCGAACCCATCTATGATGGCTGCATTTCTCACGGCTATGCAGCAACATTCGAGTAACCTTTATTCCGAGAGCAACACACTATCGCCCCCTACCGTACTACCTCCACCACCCCCGCCACCGCCGCCTCCACCACCACCGTCTACGTTGGCCTCAATCTCCCCGTTTGGTTTAATGATGAATGGTGGCGTCAACTTCACCCCGAAGCATACCAATAAAATAGTCGAAGATCCTCCGGTTACCGAGACTCAACCAACCGAGAACTGCATGAGAACAATCAAACAGCAAAAGAACGAGAGTGAGAAACCCGAAATGATGGATATTTCGCATTCCAATGAAACAAACTCTGCGAATGATCAAACAAAATCTTCAAAAGCTCATAAAACGGGGAACATAGAACACGGGGCAAACAACGAAGGAGCACTTGATCTATCAGCCAAAGTGAACATTTTTGCTGATAGTTGTTCTGTTTCTTCTCAACAGACGGTAAAAATGAATCAAACGCGGAGAGAAGAGGACGACGTTGATCCAGCACCTAGAATATGTTTTAATCGCCATGCGGTAGAATCCGCGGATAATCAGGTTCACGCGGACGAGGCCTTGGGGTCGTTTGATTACGAATGTCGATTCTGTGAGATACGATTTCGTCAACGTGCGTTGTACGACATTCACATGGGTTTCCACAGCCACACTGATCCTTATTTGTGCAACCGATGTGGACATCAGAGTGGTAATCCTGTGGACTTTTTCATCCACCTAGGCCAAATGGCGCATCACGCATAATTCCGGACATTCCAAAGCCACTTTCCTAACCTCCAAACAAATTGAGCACACTGTACATAACTACTGTTTACTTATTGAGTAGGTAGATCGCAAAAGACGAAATATTATGACGCCCAACTGTACAATACTCCGATTTTTTTCAAAAGGAAAATCCGCAAGCACCCGGTCAACTATAAAACTGTTCATTTTGTTGATCATCCTGTCGCATAACCTACCCCATCTTGAGTAATACACATACGAAGGATTAATTACTCACTGAAAAACGAGAACTATCCGGAACAATTGTTTAGCCTTCATTTGAATGCCACCGTGGATTCACTATCACCATTGATCTCAGTTTAAAAAGAAACATGTGCATTCTCATGAATACATTACTATACTTTTATCAATCTTATATCGTTCTATTTCAATACTTGATGGGTATAAATCTTCTGCGACTGGACTCAATTTCTGTCTAGTTTTTCAATGAAAGTTTCATTTATACGTGAAATAATAATGTGGGCTAGATGATATTGATCCAGACTGATCATCCTTCAGATTTTATTTTCAAGTACAAATATCATTTCCTCCATTCAAAAATACAAACAGAGAGCGCTAGACTCGAATTTTGCTCTCATTATAGTTCAACAGTATTGCATGTCGATCGTCGCAGTAGGGCTTTGACGACTTTGTCGTAACCCCTGGGCCAACTGGTTCAAACCAATATCGTAACATGTGAAAGGCGTAGACGGATGTTGAACTGATATACACCTGGCGTAAAGAAAACATGATTAGATGGGCCAAGAATTTGTGAAATGAAACACACATTCAAAAGTGTAAACATTATTTCCGTCCATAGTTCAGCGGTCGATTTGATGAATATATTAGATATGAACAATTCTAAGCAACAGGGATACCACTTCATCTCAGTTTGTACAAACATTAAACACGTACTCTTGTATTTCATTTAATCTCTTTTTCTGCCCCGTCTGGTCACCCAATGAATCAAAGCATAAATAAAAGTTTGGGAGAAAGAGGTAGGATTTCGCCATGTTAAAAACACTGCTGTGAATAAATGAATGGGATGATGAATGTGAGCCGATAATCAAGTGACATCACTTGCGGCATTTGGATTTACCATCAAATATTGTCAGTCATCGATCAGAGTGATTCCGGTGAACTGTAATCGGCAGACCAACATGACCAAAATGTGTGTGCACATTCTTTCCTCCAAGTCATAGTTTGATTCTCGTAGATTTTCTTTCATCCACTTCCTTTTTTGGTACGTTTCCGACTGAGAAATTAAATTTTGGGTGGGATGCGTAACACGAACTCAAATTATTGCAATTTGCAAAGGTCAAACACGATGAATATTCTCCATTCAGTCTTTATATTACTTGCTTATAGTGATTTCATGCGATGACACCTAGTAAATGCGATTGAAATACTAATATTCTCAATCTATCTTCTACATGAAGTTATCAAATCTATGAATCTGATATTTGCACACAAGGTGTAAATCAATCAGCAAAGCCAGACGTTTGTGAGATAGGATCTGGGATAATGTAAATCGGTCCGTCCCCGATGGGAGATGCAAAGCGCTCAGAACTACACTTCTGGATGTGGAAAAAGCAAACAACAAGTGAGGATTTCTTTACGACCAAGATCTGTCACAGTAAGGTTATTGAACCGGATTGTCACAATGTTCTCTGAGGTGACTATGGTAATGGACAAACCAAGCCCAAAGGCAGGTACTATAATGAGTATTGTATGGTTAGACTGCAGNCTCGAACTAACAGCTCATAAACACAATAGGAAATTCGATAAATTAGTCACTCCCCTCGTTTTGATTCAATGCTGAAAATGCGCGAGAAGCTGATTTTCAAGAGACTCGACAAGAAGTTTGTGATTTTCAAGTTCATTTTGAATGTCCGACAGATTTTCTTGATATTAGGCAGTTTTCCCCACGATTTCCTTCGTTTCCTCCTACAGGTTAAAGAGTCACAGCTTGTGATTGAGGGGCCACTACTCTAGACCGTCGCACTTGCGGGTTAAACGAGGAGCTTGATGTTACTGTCACATTGGTGTGTATGTGTGCACTATAAGTNTGCAACAATTCAGTTTTTACAAGCTTCACTGGAATCAGCCGCGCTATTCATCAATTAGGCGACTATGTGGAACCAGTTTCGACACTCGCTTTTTCCCCGATCAGGCTAGCTGAACAAAGACGTGTGTTTGAAACATGTCACGCTCAGCCACATGAGGTTTATCCAATAAGGACATCAGAAATTAGACATAACCAGGTATATCTGGTTATATGTAACTAGGTGGATGAACCTGCCAAGAAGACCGATTATTCATCGTCGGAGATTCTGATGGTAACCTTGTTTGAGCTGCTTGGGCTCATATGCACAGAAAAAATAGGTGCCAAATACCATAGACCATTCCATTTCGCCAGTTCACCGAGCTCGGAGTTCATTTCACTCGAGCTACGAGAACCGATTTTCAATACTGCAGACAATATTTGATAAGAAATAGAAACAATTGATGTAAGAATGGCATATTGACCTACTGTTGTTATAATTCCACGAGGTGGTACCTCGACAAGGATAGTAGTTTAATATGAATAACGGCCAGGGTATCGATAAATTGACATACATAGAACAAAATGTCTCATTTGGAATGTCTTCAGAATTCCCACAAGCACACAGGAACGATCCAGTAGTAGATACGCATTCTTGAAGTTACCATAAGGTACACAGCATTTCGCTCCAACAGATCTTGTTCATTTTTGACCGTTGAAAGAAACCGCCAATTGAATCCTTTTGCGAACTACTCACAAATGTGAGTAGCATCTTACAACACTGTGATAGAGGAAACTCGCATGATTGCCACTGTGGAAAACGGATTCATTTTTACCGATCTTGAATAACCAGAAAAACTTGAGTCTCCGTAACATGAGTCATAAGTCCCACGAAATTGCTTGGTTCGTCGGTTCTCGCTACATTGTTACTATTGATTTTCATCGAAAACCGAACTATTTTGGCTCAATCCCATGGGCAGAACCAATTCTTTAAGAAGTTCGTATGTGAAGATCATGCTGAAGTGTTCTCTGGGAATGTGCATGTGAGAAATTTATTGTAACAGATCTATCCACAGTAGGGCAATCACTTTGAGCCTATTTTTCCAGATCATTATTGTCCAACACTTGTGATTTGTCCCCCCCCCCATGAACTAACCCTTTCATCAACCCAAACAGAACTTCCTCAGAATAGGAGCTTTAACTCAGTTACTTCTTATCATACGCGCCACAAAAAGCTAATAAAAAATATTTGAAACGTGATTCACTGAATAAGCACACTGTGACGTATGAAACTGACCTCGATAAAGTTATTGTGCGCTTTTAATGCACTAAATATGCGATGCATACGATTCGGATAAATCACGTGTGCTATTCCATTCGGAGTTGTTCTATTTTGGGGATCGGTATTGAGCGAATTCCGGAACTACATTTCGAATTCCATTCACAATCCAACATTTGGCATCGTGGTCGGTCTACTGAACAGTGAATTCGACTTCGTTAGAATCCCTTGACCTAAACTGCAGTGCACGAGATATCGAGGATTATTTTGAACGTTTCGATATCTGGTGGTTGACTCGTTCAAAGTCCGATGAGGAGAATGAATCGGCGTTCTTTCTGAATGCTGCCCGTAAAAATGCTTATACTCGAATCAAGAACTTGGGTTATCCTTCTCCACTTGTTTCCGTACCGTACAAGGATTTAAAATTTCTCCA